TTGTTGACTTCTCGGCCAATACTCTATTCCAATTCGAATACTGCTAATTTATCTTTCAACGCTTTCAGGGCTGCCTCTTCTTTCGTCTTGTCCTTGCATTGTTTATTGAAAGCTATTAATTTGGCTTTGAAAGCCTGAATATCGGCCATTTGCTCTTGTTGTTTAGAACTCATTCGAGACTCCTTAATTATTCTTTTGCCAATTACTGGCTCTTCTAGGGCCACTATATTTGGCCTCATTTGACTGAATATTTCAGTGAGTGCGTCTACTGAAAATGGTTTTTTGCTCTGCGCGACAATTTGAGTTTCTTCCCTATCTTGTACTACTCTGACAGGTCCATAGTTTCCTTCGTACATGAACTTTTCCACTGAGTTTGCTTCTGCGACAAAAGGCCTATGATCGGCCTGCACCACCTCTGCTTCACCCTTGTTATTCCAAAAAACCAGGTATTGATGGAGCGATGAGGGTATACAGCGACTTTCGTGTATCGAATCTCTTCCTAGTAACACATTGTAACTAGTAGGACCATTTATTACAAAGAAGACTGTGGTCCTAGTAGTCGTACCTATAGTTATGTCCAATGACATAACTCCCTTAGCTGCAGTTGCTCCTCCATTGAAACTTGTAAGGATAACTTCTGTTGGAATCATATCCCCTTCTGTCTTTGCAAATTTTCTCATCATCCTAGATGGAATGGTGTTTATAGCTGCTCCATTATCCACAAACACTTTTGCCACAGGTATGCCATTAACTAGAGCTTTAACGTACAACGACCTCAAGTGTTCAATCAATTTCATGGCTTGTCGTTTAAAAACAACATTTTCGGTAGCCTCTATTTCTACTTTGTCCTCTGTTGAGTTATCCTTTTGTGATAAGTCAGCATGCAGCATATCGCATTGAGTCTCTATCTCCTGAATTCCCTTTTTACCGTTTTCTGATGCTTCCTCTTCAGTTACCCAACCTGTGGGAGGAAGCATTATTCTTAGAGGCGATCCATACTTTTCAGAACGAGGCACTCTCTTCTTCCTTTTGGGCGTCCTGTAAAGCACGTAAAAATCGAAAGAACGCCCAGATGGTTCTCCCAATAAGTCTACTTCACGAACTCTCTCTCGATGTAGTTGCTTCAACAGAGTATTGTGCGATACTCCTCTTCTTCTCCTTTTTGCTTCCAGATCGATTTCCTCTTCAATGTCTGCCATACCATCATCTTCCTCACCATTGTAGGTCTCTCTAGAAGTCTGGCATTCTTCATATTCCAACACGCATACTTCTCCTTCGTTATCCTCTATTTCTTCTTCTTCTTTCTCTTTATTCTAGAACTCATTGGCTAGTAAATAGTTATTAGCCACAACAGGAGGTAACGTACTGAACTGAATAGTAAGGGGCTGATCTGGATCTTCTTCATCCTTTCTATCTCGCTCAAACTTCGATCTCCCAGAAGAAGTTTTTGGCAACTCTTTCATTGATTCATCTGTACCAATCTCTTCACTATCTTTGAGAACATTTTGATTGGCTACCTTGAGTAATTTAGGCACCTTAGAACATGTCACTCCCTATTGTTGTCTCATCATTCGTCCATAATTTCGTTGGAAACGCCTTTGTTGGGTTCTAGTCATCTCGTCGAAGGGTATTGCCTTTCCTGCATTATACTGGAATGAATGTCATACATTTGATCGACGAGGTTGCGGTCTAAATGTTCTCCCATTATCTATTGGCCTGAACTGCCTCTCAAAAGGTTGTCCTTTGTAGAACGATATACCTCGTCCTCTACCAGGCTGAGCGTTCGGGAGGAGAGTAGGGTGATGGGGATGCTGCCATATCCCTGGTTTCTCCGTATTCCCACTCACTTCTCTTTTACATCTTACACACAAAACGTCTTCATCCTTCTTTGGCTCCTTCCCTTTAATACGCTCAAAGACACTGGGATGTGGTCCAGGGTCTTCTTCTCCATCATCTATAACCAATTTGAATTTTGACAATTTGTTTTTGAAACCAGACGTCACCATATTCACTCCAAGTGGCTGTGGAAAAGGATTTTCATCCACTGCCATCTTCTTCTTATCATCGAACGTAATTCGTCCTTATTCAATGGCATCCTGTAACACATGGAGAAAAACCAAGCAATTGTTAGTCAAATGTGACCATGCATTATGCCACTTGCAATATTTTTTACCCTTTATTTGTTCAGGGTTTGGCAATTTATGCTTATCGCTCAACTTTATCTGTTTATCCTTATATAATTTATCAAATATAAGGTCAGCTTTGGTTACATCGAACGAGAACATCCTAGCTTTTACGTTTTCATCATTCATAGGTTCATCCTTACCCGATGGTCTAGGCTTAGCCATTATAGGACAAGTATACGTGTCCCCTTTGACTAATTCGGCCAAACATATTTCGATATGATCGTATAACTCGTTATTGATGGTATGAACATCAAAATTTGGGTCTCTATAATAAGTCCCCTTGTTAGAATTTTTTATCTGCTCTTCTTCTCTTATCAATCGTTCATACCTAATCACGTTCGCGCTCAATTGGAAAATGTCAGGAAATTCCTTGTCTTGGAATTTATTTTTTAAATAGAAGCTCAAACAACCTTGAGCGATTTTGACAAACTCTTTTTTGGGTAGAGGAACAAAACATTTACTTCTTGCTGTCTTGAACCTTTGGAGGAAACCTTCTGCCCACTCGTTTGGCATTTGACGTAGGTTCGCCAAATCGGCCAAAGTAACTTCAGACTCAGTCTTATAAAACTGAGCGTGGAAAAATTGTTCCAATTGTTGCCATGTTTGAACAGAATTCGCTGGCAAATTGATGAACCAGGAGAAAGTTACTCCTGTTAATGAACTAGCGAAAAGTATCATTTTATGATAATCAGTTACGTCACCACTTTGCAGTGTGAATCGTCCCATTTGTTTTAGAGTAGACACCTCCCCTAAACCGGTAAATAGTGAGAATTCTGGCACTTTATACCCTCTAGGCCATGGATATGCTTGGTCTATCCAATCAGGATATGACTTTGTGTAAGTCGACCTAATGACAGGACGTACCCCAAAAGCCTTCTGGTCCTATACGATTTTCATAATTTGATTCCTCAACATGACGTTGGGGTCATATGGAATCCCTACAGGTTGGTTGACCGGTTGATTTGCTTGAGGCCTGATATTTGGTCCTTGATTATCAATAAAATTACCATGATTTGGGTCATTGTTACTATTAGCCTGAACATTTATTCCCTCATTAACACGTGGGGTATTCTGCCCGTTATTTAGGATATTATCTCTTACATTTGGATTACCCTCCAAGTTAGGCGTACCACTACCATTATTCTGATTTGGCATTACACCATCCCCTTGGTTTGAAGTAAAGGGACCGAAATGTGGTTCTACCCCTTGACTTGGATTTAGGATTGGGGGATTATGTCCCACAATTGTCCTAATTTGAAAATGGTTTGCAAGAGGCATAACTGGTTGACAAATTTGGTCTACTAACTTATTCATTATTTCATTCAAAGTATTCAGTTGTTTGGCCATGTTGTCATAATGTGCATTCCCATTTTGGGTAAATCTTTCCATATTATGAATGTTTCGAAGATTTACCTGTTCAACGACATCTTATGTGAGTTCTCCAAGTAGCGCACGCATAATTCGAGGACTCAACTTTGTCATTGATTCGTAACGACTGTTACTGCTTTGATTCTGTCCATCTGTTCATGGAGAGTTATGCTGCTCCTCATATCGCTCGATCACAGACTGGACTCCTCCCTGACTTGCTGCTTCCTTATCGGATCTCTGAGGCATATTGTTTCACCTTTTGTATCTTCAACACCAAACACCACTGTCCCACTGAGCGTGCCAAATTGTTTCGCATGGGTTAGTCGCTAACAATTAAAAAGGGATTAGACAATTGTGTAAGGGACAAATCTCTTGAGACAAAGTCCCAAAAAGGGGCGTTTTTATTGGCGATGACTTTACAATTGGAAAATAAAAACAGAATGCCTCCAAGGTGCGCAAGCACACGAGTTACTGTAAAAGAAATGTTTAAATCTAAATTAAGAAATTAAAAGTTACATATTCTCTGTTTGAGAGTGTTTGATTCGGGGGTCCTTTGCTCTATGTCTTTTCTTCCTTTTATACTCCCTAGGTGATCTATTCGTGATCAACCGCTTAAAAACTGCTTGATCGCTCTATAACTGTCCACTTCCCTTGTAGTGGCCAACTTGTTATGAAACTGCATTCTCTAACTGCTACCATTACTTTTGTCGTTCAACCGTCTTCAATTGAATTTCTTGAATCGAGGGACGTGGTAGGACTACCTAATAACTGTTTTATTAACTGCACCATAACATCTTATGTTTGTTAAGATGTTGGGAGACTCGAATGTTTGGACGAGAGCAGGGTCACAGCTCTGGGCGACTGCATGACAAGTCATTCGCTCAAATCTTAGACGACTTGCAACCTTGGGCGATGGTATTACCGCGTTCATGGGCTTCCCTATTGGGTCTTTATCTTGTATTGCCCGATTGATTCGTTTTTTGGGCTATTTGATTTTTGGGGATCTTCCAGTTGGACTTCATTCCTTAGGCTATTCGACTTTGGCTGAACTTTTTGTGTGTCAACAATTACATTGACCACGATTGTTCAGTATTTCAAGTATTCTTTCTAAGGTTCACGAAACATAAATATTAGCAAATAAACGACCAACCTGACTGAGATTCACTTAATTGGTTTCTCAACCTATCACCGACCAAAAACGGCGGCAAACCTTGGCTCGTGTTTGAGGAAAAGCGCAAAACAACCATGTCACTAATGTCCATTTTCATTAAATTTAGTACCAAAAAGTAAATATAAATTTCTCTAATAATTAATGTAAACTAAGACGTAGATCAGCTGACTACTAATATGGCCGGTGCCAAACCTAGAGTGCCACATGCCCCGATCTCTGTCCTTTATAAAATGCTGTTACCATCTTCTCTGAAAATTGTAAGCAACTGTTATAAACCGTTTTATCATTTGCAGCAAGCAATCTTTTCTTCACTTGTTCATCAAGACAAGACATGAGTCGTTTTTGGACTTTGCTCACTCATGTTCATGCAGTTTCTGGGTAATTTTGTCTCTTCTTCTTTTATTTGATTTGGTGGTTTTGGGTTGGGTGGGAGGGGGTAGAGGGGGAAAGGGGAGTGATTTCACATGTTCTTACTTCAAGTTTTTTGCTACCCCATGTTTGGTTTATATAAAAATCAAATACTTAATATATTTTGATAAAAATTAATAGAACGTACGTTTGAAAAATTGTGAGACCCATAAAATTTATGGTTAAAACTATTGTCTGACTTTGACTTAAATTTGAATCAATTTTATATATAAGCCAAATATGAACTAACTCGATTGATGAACTCGTATGTGAAGGCCATGCATCATGTTGGTCTACCCATTGTAAGTGACCCTTCTCTCTCTCTCATTTAAGTTCTCAACATAATTTTCTAGCTATGTATAACATTTTAATATTGAGGGATAGATATGCATCGGTGGTGGCTATAGAGAGCACATCAAAATTAGATGATGAGCAATGGCTTGCTTATTGGATTTTATATTCCTTTCTTACTCTCATGGAGATGCTGCTCCAACCCATCTTAGAATGGTAAATTAAATACTTTTTTTTTTCACAATTTTTTATTTTTTTTATAGTTTTTCTAGTAACAATAATTAAACACAAATATATAATTTGTAGGATACCAATATGGTACGATGTGAAGCTAGCCTTTGTGGCATGGTTGGTCCTACCACAATTCAGAGGAGCTGCTTTTATATACGAAAAGTTTGTTAGAGAAAAATTAATCAAGAAATATGGTGCAGCACATTTCCGCAAGTCACCTAATGGCAAGGACAAAAACTAATTTGTGGATTTTACCACCCCCAAGAAGGCAAGTTAATAGCATTCTTGTATTTTTATTTTTTTTTTAAATTAAGAAATGAAATTTTACTCAAATTAATTAATTAGTTTTTTAATTTTTTATTATTATTTATTTTAATTATTATTACTTTTTTGGAACAGGGAGAACATGAAGTCCACCGATATATGAGAAATCTACCTCGCTCCCTGTCCCGGCTTGGGGACATGGCGCCCCTGTTTTCAACCCTATTTCCAAGGCGGGATAGTGGGCTTTATTCATGAGAAATTAGTGGATGGTCACAAGTATTGTACTTAAGCATTCGGGTTGTAATTATTTTATTTTATTTTTGGTGACTTTCAAAGTATGTTGTCTTGTATAAACTTGTATTTGCAGTTAGTAATGCTATATATTTGTTTTCTAGGTTTTCACTTAAAAAGAAGTTAAAACTAATTTTATATACAGAACATTATTGGGCCACATCATGTTAGATAAATAAGTACAGAGTGAAAGTTAGAGGTGTTGAGAAATTATTTAATTTGCCATGTGGACCGACATACGTAATTAATGGTGTTTAAATGTTATTTTAAAGTTAAGTTCAAAATTAAAGTGATCTAATAAAGAATTAAGTAATTGGGCTTAGGACATTTAAATAAAGTTAGGCCAAATTATATATGTAGAGACCGGATTTCTTTAAAATCGTATTTCATGATGAGAGAAATACGTATGAAAACTTTATGTAGGATTATGGTCCATAATTCATATGCAACTTCCCATTCTTTGTGTTATTTCATCAACACAAGAATACAAAAAAAGAAAAGAAAAAGGAGCATGTTGAAGAGAAATATCCAAAACTCACAATCAAAACAGACAATCTACAGTCAAGAATCAAGATAAAGGAATTCAAAAATCAAGATTATGGATCAAGAAGTAAAATCAAGAACAAGAATTAGAGAATCTAATGAGGCAAAATTCAAGATTGATAGTAAGAAACCAATCAAGAAGGAATTCCAATTGATTTTCAATATTTGATACTCGAAATCAAAATCTAATAATAAAGAATTATTCCCAAAGAGTTAAAGTATATTTCATATTATTAATTTTCTTGGTGATTTGATATGGATGATCTTGGCAATAAAGTAATTAGCTTTTCATGTTATTAAGATTTAAAGTTTTATAAAGATTCAACAAGTGATATCAAAGCCAACTCTATGTTAAACAATTTGGATTAAAGGAAGAATTTTGTGATTGAAATTCATTTATTGAGGTTTTGGAAATTTTAATTTGGAATATGAATTTTAGCCATAAATTTCGAAATTCAAATTTTTTTCAAGTTAGAATTTTAGGATTAAAAGTTATAATTTGGATTTTCCAATTTAGGATATGAATTTTAACTCTAAAATTCGAAATTATGATTTTTTGGGATTTTTCGAAATTTTTTTTAGCTCAAAATGGTAGCCGCGACGCCGATTGACAACGTGAACGACACTGCGACGCTAGGTGCAGCATCCAATTTGCACGCTGCAGCACTGGTTTTTCGAATTTTTTTATTTGGCCACAAAAGAGAGAATAAAAACAAAAATATTAAGGGCAATTAATTTCAAATTTTGGTATTTAAAGTTTCTTTCAATCATTAATTTTCTAAAATAGATTAGTTGAAATAACATGTTACCAAAGTAATATCTCTTGCCTAAATTAATTTATTTGTGATATTAGGAAAGTTGTGTATATGTATTTCAATGTGGATATTCACCGGCCCAAAAGAAGATCAATATTTGACAGAACTATTTGTACACCTATAGTAATAAAAATATGTGACAATTGTAATGTTTTCCATTCTGTGAACATTGGTTCGATTCAAGATAGACTTGATGTTTGACCTGATTTATTATCAATATTTGAGTACTACACCAATAGTACTACTGCAGTTGATATTTTTGTCAAAATACTAAACATCAATGTTGTGCTCAATCTCTTGTGATGGGGCCTACCAGTATTTGAATTATTGATTGTTTAATATGAATTCATACGTGAACATTGTATTTAAGTTTAGGTTCTCTATTCGGTTAATTCATCTACTTCTGCAATATCTGTCAACATCAATTCAATTTCTGTGCTTGAACCAAAGTTTAAGGGCTGAAAAGAAAACATTTGTATCGTTCATGATGCCATGGATCTAGACCTTGCTTTAAGAATTGAAAATCCACTATTCTTACGAATAAGGGTTGCGCTAATAAAACGGGACTTGAATGAGTAAGATCGTTCAAACTACATAACTCTTATGATTATGAAGCATAAAATTTCAGCAAAATTTAGGGCATTGTGTCCAATAAGATAACTGCTAAAAAAATTTTAAAAAAAATATTCCAAAACGCTTTGCAAAAAAAATGATAAGATCAAAACTAGAATGCTTCTGGAAAACTTGGTTTTACTAAAGTATAAGGCTAAAATATACGGAAATACATTATGGATGTGCTCATCTTAATTCAAAACCAATGGCATTAATGTTTAAGCTGTTTGATGACTTGCTCGTGCATATAGTTTTGATTTCTCTTCCTGCTCAATTCAGTTAACTAAAGGTCAGTTAAAGCTATCAAAACGCGAAGTAGAGTCTTAATGAGCTCATTTTATGTTGTGTGCAGGAAAATGAAAGTCTAAAGCAAGAGAGGAGTGGAAGTATTTACTTGGCAAATGCTTCTAAGGACAAATTAAAGGATGAGAAAGCCGCATCAAGTTCAATTCAAAAGAAACAATGAGCGCCTCAAAAAGATAAATCATTTAGATGTTACTTTTGTGAAAAATCTGAGACACATGAAGAGAAATTATACTAAATACCACGCTTGGCATGTAAAGTCAAGTACACTTTTCATTTTAGAATGTTCTCAGGTTAATTTAGTTTTAATATCCAGACACATTTTTTAGATAAATTTCGGTATCACTATTCAAATAAGTGTCAAGTACACTTCTCATTTAGCTGTTACTTTTGTGAAAAATCAGAGACACGTGAAGAGAAATTATACTAAATACCATGCTTGGCGTGTAAAGTCAAGTACACTTCTCATTTTAGAATGTTTTGAGGTTGATTTAGTTTTAATATCCAGACACATTTTGTAGATAAATTTTGATATCACTATTCAAATAAGTGTCTATGCAAGGTTTCTAAATAGCGTAAAGCCAATTGATATTGAACGATTCATCTATGTGAGGCGATGGCAAATAGGGCTGGCAATGGGACGAGTTCGATCCCCCGACCTTACCCCATCTTGTCGTACATTTTTTCGCCCCATACCCACCCCATTACACATTTTAAGGCGAGACGGGGGGAAAACCTTCCCCATTTACGTACTCGTTTGATTTTTCTAGTTGTTGATGATTCATTTTATTGCCCTCATTCATTAAATAAGACAATGATATAGTTGTTAAATTTTATTTATTTATTTTCAAAAGTTAAATTATTTGAATATATTTAGCAAACTAAGATTTTTATTATTTTTCATATTCTTTAAATAATTTTAATTGCTATCTTCTATTAGAATTAATGAAATTTTGTAGAGTTTTTCATTTAAACGAATGAATTTTAAAAAAATTAAACGGGACGGGGCCCCTGTTACTCATGCCTGACCCAATTACCTAATCAAGCGGGTAATTCCCACACCGTTCAGGGCGAGGCCCGAGGGTATCAAATTTAACGAATTTTTTAACCATCCATAATGACAAATTAGTTAAAGTTGAGGTTATAAGGACTTTTAGGTTATTATTAAAGACTAGTTATTATTTGAATTTGAAAGAGACATTTGCCGTACCATCTTTTTGGAAGAAATTTGGCTTTTGTTTCTACATTGAATAAATTCGATTACTTTTGTTCAATTGAAAATAGTTAGTTTAGTCTTTTTCTTTTTAATTCAAATATTATGGGTACTTGTTCTTTATCCAGTTATAATACTTTATATCTATTAAATATGATTGACTCTTATAAAGAAACTTTTTATTTTAAATCACGTGGTATTAAACATATATTAACTAATGAAAATTCTGTTTCATTATGACATGATCGATTAGGTCACGTCACTCAAAAGAGAAAGAAAGTCTTATGTCAAAAAAAAAAAATCTTGATTCCCTTAATTTTCCAGACTGAAGTGATCATGTTAATCACATTAAGGGAAAATAAGCAAATATAAGGAAATTGGGTACCAATAGGACTTCAGACATCTTATAACTAATTTATACAGATATCTGTATGCCATTTTTTTAACTTTTTTGGAATGGTCAACAGTAATTTATTATGATCATAGATGAATTTTTCTCATTATGGCTACCTATGGTCCTATATCTCATCCATCAGAAATCCCAAATACTAGACATGTTCAAGGCGTGCAAGGCTAAAGTTGAAAATCAATTCAGCAAAAGAATAAAGCACATCAGATCTAATTGTAATGGTGAGTACTATGATAGATATGATAGATCAGGAGAACAACGTCCATGACCTTTTGCTAAATTTCTAGTGGAATGTGGAATCGTCACACACTACATCAGAATCTCTCTAGGTTGAAGCACTCAAAATTGCAACTTAAACTTACAATAAAGTTCCAACTAAAGCAACTGTTAAGGGGTTAAAAATTTAAAAAATCCCACTATAAGTCAATTTTTTGAAATGAAAAATGTCCGATTCCTTAAGAATGTAGAGTTTGTGGCGGAGATAATGTTTTATTGTTAAGAATTTTGTCTTTGAAGAAGAATATGTATATATCTCATTTGTTGCAATTGACAGTGTTTAGGATTAGGGACAAATTCTCACTTCAAATCTTGTTCAAGAAGCAATTTTGGAGCAAAACAATATTACAAAATCTCTCATACACAATCAAAAGATTGTTTCAAAATGACAAACTCAACAACATTAAGAACAAATGTCGTTAACGAAATCCACAAAAAAAGAAAAAGGAAAAGGAAAATGACAATTCAAATAATTTTATAGTATTTCTCCAAGAAATTAAGGATGGTATTGTATTGGTGGAAGATCTAATCGATCAATTTTTATCATGCAATGCAAAAGAATAATTATTAAGAACTGATTAATGCCATGAATAAAGAGATAAAATTTATGAATAACAATGACATTTGGGAACTCATTTCATTGTTTGGAGGTGTAAAACTCAATGGTTGTAAATGGATATTTAAAACTAAGAGAGATTTCTAAGGTGATGTGAAGAGATATAAAACTCGTCTTGTTACAAATGATTTTACTCAAAAGAAAGACATTGATCTGAAAGAGACTTTTTCTCCGATTTCTACAAAAGACTCTTTTAGGACTATTATTCCATTTTGATCTTAAGCTACATCTAAGGTTTACAAATTAAAGAAATCCATCTATGGGCCTAAGCAGGTTTCCCGTCAATGGTATCACAAATTTCGTCACATAATTATCT